TTATATATATAATATATATATATCACGGGTTTTCAGATTTAGTATGATATTGATAAAAGTTCGAGCCATACACGTGGATTGTGTATGAGGTGTATTAGGGTAGACACTTCCTTAAGTTTACCAGTAGCTTTTTAGATGATATTTATTTTGGCCTGGTGGTATAAACTTTCTCGTCGATTTGGTCACTATAACCTTATCCTATAACACCGTGCAATAGCACTGTACTATGTTTGGTTATTTACTAGATATGTAATCTGTTCCCTACAGGTTCAAGTATAAGCGATCAGAAAGAGCTGTTCAAAGAGCTACTGCAGAAGTGTGTCAGCGAGATAAATGATGAAGGTACGTGCGAACTTGGATGGCAGTGGTGTAGACAGCTTATTCCATACGTGTATAGACATCCTCAAATGCCCCACGTTAGGCGGTGCCCAATTAGCCTAACAATATCGATCGTGAGTCGAGTTGAACACTTGTCTATCAACCAAGAAGGTATTTGTCAAGTGCACTTTATTGCAGTGATATCTATCGGTATTGCTGACCCATGCAACGGCATTCGCATGGGTGTTTGTGAATGGCATACACCCTTGATTTTACCCTCAGATGCTCTGGCGTTCCCCACATGCCCACACGTTTCTGTGAGTTGCCACATGCTCAGCCCCGACCTTTGCCGCGTCTATCTTCTGGTGCCTGTGGATTCTATTTGTTTCACTCACCTTTTTCTCCGTATTCGCATCCCACGCCACTTGCAGACTCAGACGAAACACCCCCCGCTCCAGCCCCAACGTAAGTCTTTCTTCTTGAATGGCTATGCATCCTTTCGGGTTCGCACGCTTTTGTGGCTGGTGGTCTGCTGTACTGTTTGTTAGAGCGACCCAAAATCATATTGGATATTGCGTGCTCGCTATCTCCGAGTGGCCTTGTATTTGATATTCATTCAGTCTGATCCGTTTTAGGACCAGCCTGAGTAGTGGGACTTCCGCTGCTTGCGATCATCTCTTGGATGACCCGCATATCAGTGTTTGACGGCTATAGATTCGAATAGAAACATATCTCGATTGAATGTCACACACATGACCCAGTCCTTGCTCATGTGACATATCACGAATCTAGGTCTGAAGCACTGTCGCATCGTGCTCATATCAGTTACCATTTATTCTCATCACATCCACAGCAAGAAGCGTAGAGCTCCCGCGACTACCCCTACTGCTCGTTCCGCTAAGAAAGCTGCTCCCGTAAGGAAACGTGCCAAAAAGGAAAAAGACCCCAACGCACCGCCCAGAAAGACTGGTCTGAGTGCGCCTCAGATTCTGTCCGATAAGATGTCCGCACTCATGGCCGGCGAAAAACAGGTGTGTTACGCCAGAGATTGGCACCTTCTAGAAGTTAGAATGGACTTGTGTGTTGGCTTGTGATGCGCTGTAGTGTACTTTTTCCTAGCCAAACCCGTTTTTGGGATTTGCCATGGTCAAACATCTTTTCGCTAGTGTCTGCAAATACACATTAATAGTGGTTGCACTACCGGTCCAGTGAGTGCTATGGGACAAGAAGTGAATATGCGCACCCCGTGAGTGTGTTTCACCAAATGGCCGTTGTATACAGCACTCGGTTACTTGGGGGTAGTAGCTATTGGCAGGGGAACCTAATATGTCTGTTTGATCTCATATGCATCACTCAGATGTCGCGGCCATCAGTGGTTAAACAGCTCTGGGTCCTCATTAAAGAGCGTGACCTTCAGGATGAGAAAAACAAGAAGAACATCCTATGCGACGAGGTGTGTAGTCTTCGCAATTCTTTCTTTGAAATTGGCTCGTTTCCCTGTTAAATGGTGCTCGTAGTTCTGTTGCTGAGAAAATACCGTGCCAACTTTCGAACCACTTTTTGATAGTTGTATTGCATTGTAACTATGTTCACATTCCCCTTGTTGTAAACTCTGATTGTAGAGGTATCAATGTGACATCGCATGCCCTGATCTAATGAAATCTTTCTACCGTGTCACAGGAGTTCAAGAATGTGTTCGGAGTTTCAGAGATGACCATGTTTGAGATGAACAAACTTCTGTCGAATCATGTAACGGCGATCCCGAAAGACCCGAATGCGCCAAAGAAGGCGGCGGTCGCAGAATGAAGGCTGCGTTTTCGACTGATTTTAGAAACCACAAGACTACCCTAGGCTTTAGTGTACCGACCGAGTCCGAGACTGACGACGCTGCTGTGCGTCAGCTTGTTTTATCTATAGAATGATGTGGCTATGAGCTTTAAAGGCACGCACATCCAATGGAAATCGGTCCAAGACGCTCTTATGCAACTGCTGTTTGAGCTCTGCTGCGCGCGAACTCGTATTCCCAACAGTACACGAGTGTACTGACAATCCTCAGGCTTCAGAAAACAAGTCCTCGAAGTAAGGTGTCTTCGACATCACGACTATCAACTTGCACAACATACAATGCAAAATAAAGAAATTTAGAAATCCGGAACTTAGGTTGTATTTTGTTTGCATGTAAATACAAAATACTTCTCGCATCTATCTACAAGGCACCGATTGTGTATGTATCCAGGGTGCAACCTGCTCACGATCTAGGTTGATATATATAGTTGGGCGTGATTGACTGAATAATTATTCCATCACATTTGGCGTGATCGCTATCCCATAACAACGTACACCTATCACTTTTAGAAATTGTGTATGTATCCAGGGTGCAACCTGCTCACGATCTAGGTGGATATATATAGTTGGGCGTGATTGACTGAATAATTATTCCATCACATTTGGCGTGATCGCTATCCCATAACAACGTACACCTATCACTTTTAAAAACAATTGCGAACTATACGACTTTCTGTTTCTACAACTCATCATGTTTGAATGATGCTATTTTTGCAACATTGTCGAGTCTTATTATCACTTGACAAACTTAAGTCGATAAATCATGACCCACGCACAGTCGGCTATATATTTCGTTAAAATATTAAAATATCATATTTACATATAAACATGACTGAAATACAACAACAACAGTCAACAAGTGAAGATGGGGACAATCGAAAAAGGACCTAGACCACTGGTCATTTAGATGGCTTTGACTGGACCCTGTGAACTTGTGAAGTGTGATTCCATTTAATCCTCTCTTCAGTCTTCTTGTGTGTAGTGCAACTATTAACTATCAAGTCAGAACCGCTTGTATATTCTTCAATTCATTGGCTGAAGAACGAATCGACATCGGGGGTTTATGGCCCTTTTTCAACCAAACGTACGGAATATTAGAGGGGGGGTTTTTTATATGGGCAGAATCTGGACTCTGGAAGCCGGTGGGACTACGTGTGTTTTTGAAATGTTTATTCTTATTTACATTTACATCATTTACATCATAGAGAGTGAATGCGTACCACTCAAATAAGATTCCAAGTTCCAAGTGCCAAGTTACAAGTTCCAACACAGAAAACTGAAAAGACTGAAGACGGTATTTATAAATGTACGTACTTAACTGTATAAATATGAGAGAAGAGAGAAGACTGGGACTCGCTATAGTGAACTTCTTGTATGAACTTCATGTGAAGTCGTGAACTTGTTGTCAATGTTGTGTGAACTGTGAAGACTGAAGGTATCTCCATGACTCAGACTGTGCGTCTGTGCGTAGTGACTCGTATGTGGTCATGAGTCGTGAGTCGTGAGTCGTGAGTCGTGACTCCGTAGTCCGTGAGAGAGTCTGATTCTGTCTTCGAGAGAGAGCTTGCTGAATACAATACTACATACTCTCTGACCTGACAGTGCTGACACTGACAGTGTCACAGTCACAGGGTAGTACTACGCTTGGCTCAGTATATAACTGGTACATTTGTTTTGTTTCGCCTCTTTAGGAGGTTATGATTTGTACAGAGAACAATAAAATTTAATTAAAAAAAAAACAAATAAAAAAGTGTCAATGTGAGTCAAACTCACTCTAAAAATCAAAGTGACCAACTGTAAAAAAAGAGTTTTAATAAAATTATAATGACAATCTGCCTGTTTTATTTTAGTAGTAGGCTTTGATCTGTCAGTTAGGTTTTTTATATATAAAAAAACTGTACAAAATAATCCCAAATGTCCAATATGTACATATGACAAATAATGGGGAGCACCGTGAGCACTGAGCACCAATGGAATCCACGGGACGTGAAAACAGGGTCTTTTGGTGAGCACTATTTTTAACGTCTATATGTGATGGTCATCAAAATAAATACGGTCTTTTATAAACGACTTATCGTTTATGCTCCTGGGGTCCTGGAGACTTGTATCTATTGAATATCAGCTGGTTCATTTGAGGAAAGGGCTTACCGTATTATAGGAAGGGATTTTTGTTTGTTTGATATAAACGGTTTAACGTAAATATATCCTTTTTGGGCATATTTTAGGTTGAGCAGTTTGAGGCCTTAAGGCTTCTCACTTTGCGGACTTGTGACAAACGGGGATGTGCCATTGTACGCGCTGTGTAGCCTGTCTTGGTCTCTTGGTGTAGCCACAACAATTTTTTAATGTAGTGTAGATGTAAATAAAGTATAAGTGTGTGTTACCGTAAGGAACTACATTCAGTATCTACCAACGACCAAATAAGTTCAAATTATTAGATCGAAATAGATCGTATCACATAATCTAACGTTACATTATGAAGGTGTGAATATGCAGGGGTTGCTTACTATAAAACATGGGCACGTGCAAGTTTCCTGATTTTTTTTTCCTTGCACATTTATAAGTACATTCGGATCCCATCCCTCGCGCTCTCATCATGCCCACGCACGCACAAGAAATATGTTATACATCAGTTTCTTCACACCGCATATATATATATTTCTAAGTACAGTTTCTATGTGTTGTTGGTTCTGCAGTGTGCCTAAATATAGGGCAGTTTGCTCGTACTCTTTCTCGAGTATACTTTCTATATTATTTTGGGCCTGCATTGTGAAAAAGTGTCCCTAAAGAGATCGACTGTGACATTAGACATATCGTAGTAAAATGTAAAAGCTCACATGGTATAAATAAATATAGCAGCGATTGGCACCACCCTTTTTTCAGACAGTAAGCTGATTGTTTCCTCGTCGCTGATGCATAAAGAAAATTAACATCGTGCTATTCGGTGTATCTTAGTTTAGACAAGTAGTGAATTGCGAATGTGCATCGCTATTTCGTATCCGTATTGAAGATATACTAAGTAGTGAATGGGTCACGCTTGAGGGCAGTACCAGCGCGCAGGTCACCACAGTATGTAGTCAGCCGACTAGCTAAATGGCTTCGTGGTGGCACCTGTATGTGCTATGAACCACATACAAATATACTCACAAGTATAGGCTGTGCACGAGGTGATTCTGTACAAGATTGCTTGTTGGGAAATCCATTTGATTGCTTCGTTGAGAACCGTATGCGTATGATATCAAAATAACCGGCGAGTCTTTCAGTACTGATGGTAGATGTAGGTTCGCATATGCTTCCTCCAGCGAGATAGTACGCTGTGATTTCTGTTTGGCTACGTGTAAGCGACCCGCCGTATGTACTTCAACTGATATCTGCCCACACATGTAGGCTAAAATGCTATAGATTTCTGTCAACAATCATTCCAACACCGTGCACTCGGGCGTTAAGTGGTCAAACATACTTACACACGCACGAATCGTGGTCGGTTACTTCAAATCCTCTCACAGGTTACAGTCACCGACGCAGAGCTCGCTGAGCTGAACAAGCGCGTATACACCGTGGGCTTCCAGGCCTTCCTAGCCTCTACCGCAGCCGCCACCGCAGGTCTGTACACACTCAACCGCAGCAACGCCTGGTTCAAAGCTCTGCGCCCCAGTTTCAAAGCAGCCGCATGGATCTGCCCGATTGTTGTGGTCACCGTAGTCGCAGCGGAGGAGCAGGTTATTCAGATGGAGAAGGAGAGGCATGTGCTGTACGACGAGGGGGGTGTGAAACTGGAGTCCGATAAAAATCGCTCGATCACGGCACAGGACTGGCCCACGTGGTTGGCGGACAACCGCTTCTCACTGGTTGCTGCCGCCTGGGTTGCGGGTGTGGCTGGGTATGTGGTGTGGCATCCATACGTATCTTTGATTGTAGGGGGAGTTTCATACTTATGTCGGCACTTGGTTTGGTATTTATACGCATGTTGTGTGTGGTGTGTGGGGTTTGTACGCCTTTCTGTATGTGGGTGTGTTTTCAAGGTACGTCTGTTTTTTGTGTGTATTCATACCTCTATCTGTTTGTGTATCCAACACGCATGTCTGTAAGTTGTGTGGCTGCACATGTCTAGTTATAGGAACACAATATGATAGACATTGTGTGTAGCACCAAATGTTTACACTGTCGAGGAAGACCAGGTGCGTGTAGGAGGCGATTCGTGGTCTTCATTCATTCGTGGTTGCCAGTGCTCTATTGATGTTCATCAGTGAGTACAGAGCGATCCATCAGCGGATTCATCGGTCTCAGCTTACCTAATGACTTCCAAATCGTCAAAGTCGTGCAACAACTTTCCGATAGGTTCCCTACACCCTTGAGTTTTTCATCGCCAAATATATACCGGTTTTGCTATCTGGTCTGTTGTCTAGTCGAGAAAACATATTGCACTGTGCTGGAGGCACGGATACAGCTTGTAGTGTGTGGGCAGTTTTGTATTGTATCTTGTCTGAGGTGTGGCTGAATAAGTGCGCATTATCATAAAGGGATGCCTGTAACCGGAAGCACGCACAGCGTATAGCAATCACATTTGGTATAGTATAGTGTGCTGGCCGAATTAAGTCCAGCGATATATTTGCGACAGTCTCAGGATGTGTGCGATTGTGAATATCGATACCCTGGCTGTACATGCCATCTCGAAAGGAAGAGAACGTTCTTGGCACCGTCCAGGGTAGACCACATTGTTTATATATGATTGCTATCTGTTAGTCTGCGGTGACCCTTATGTGTAGCTATATTCGTAAACAATCGTCGACCCTCTCATTCCGGATATTTACTATTTTGTATTTGTCGTGTCCATAATTCTGTGCATGCTCGCAATATGCACCTGGTGTGATCTATCAGGACATCCTTGTATTTTGTGCAGACTGTATGGTTTTCATGTAGATTTGCGGTATTTATGCATAACTATTTGTTCTAGAAAAGTTATAAGGCTCATCATTTGCTCCCATGCACAAGCCTGCAGCAGCTGTGTTGATACTCACTCGCCGGAGTGTATGTACTATATACGTGATTGTGGATAGGGTGCGCTTGGGGTGCGTGTTGTCTAGCCGTTGCGAGGTTAGTGTGTGAGAGTCCGCCTTCTCTGCACGAGGTCTATTGGGCGTGCAAATGTCTATCCGCACCTGGGTCACGACACCTTAGCGGATCCGACTGCAGGCGATATACAACCACGTATAAAGACGGAATTACAGGCTTGTCCTGAATATACCTATACCACGGACTTGTCGCGTTCCGAGCTCCTATTCAGTGGTACATCTTATTACGAATAATGGGTATAGCCTACTACATAGCGTACTGTACTAATCCTAACCTTTATCTTCGAACTCTTGTTTTTTCTACTATCCAGGTCGCTCACATTCTCATACAGCAACCCCTACCTGACACCCACGGTCAAGGCATTCCACGCGCGTGTACAGTCGCAGGCCATTACGCTGGCAGCTCTAGTAGCGGCTGGCGCTGTTGCCCCGTTCGGATCAAAGACGTCCATCAAAGCGGATCACGATATGTTCCAGAGACGCTTAGAATACGAGGAGAAGAAGTGGACCGTGGAACATCCTGGAGAGAGCACGCACAAGAAGCACTAGAGTGCGTCTGCGTGTGTAAGGGAGGGCTCGGTAGGTACTAGTAAGACGGAGAGGTGATCGGGGATTGCCTTGCATATAACAAACGAATATACTCTAGTTATTGTAGATTGTACGCAATCGGCGAAAAAATAAATAAAACTCGTCGTTAATTGGCTTATCCCTGCATTTGAGTGTCAATCTTGCCCCCCCTGACTGCTGCCGAAATGATAAAGGTGGCTGATTCCCACATTCATCGTTCCTGAGGTCATATATACCACAGCCACAGTGACTGCTGCCACTGTGACTGCTGCCAAAATGATAAAGGTGGCTGAATTCCACTTTTACCGTTCCTGAGGTCATACATACTCCTCAACCACTGCTAGTAAAATCTCTTCCCCGGACTGTCCCGGAAATAGGAAGTGGATGGACATCTTGATTTTCCATTTCTAAAAGCAAGGCCACAACCATCACACACTTGACAAACCTTTGCTGCTTTTGATTTTGAGGTCAGTTCCGCGATAATCAGTCAGCAGAGTTGCTCCCTCAGATCAGCTCTCAAAGTGCAAAAGTGGCTGAATATCTTGTTTATTTGATAATGAGGTCACACCCTTATTATGCTACAATCTGGACTAAATATCTCGTCTATTTGATAATAAGGTCGCACCCTTATCATATTACAATCTAGACTAAACATCTCGTTTATTTGATCTTGATGTCACATTCTCTCCTTAATACACCGCTAGCAGAATCTCTCCCCCAGACCGCTTCCGCAGTGTCTCTGCATCAGTCATTATGCCGTCGGACGACGACAAGATGTGCACCCCCAGGCCTCCATGCATGCGAGTACAGGCCAATTGCTATTTGGAGAAGACAATAAATACACTCAGGTCAGTCGCATGTCACAGATGTGATTCGGTTCTCTTGTGTACACATGTAGGTATAACCTTTTACGGCGCACATCAATACCTCCGAGGATACTCTGCACACATATATCGATTTGCTTATATGCCGCGCTTTGACTTGTATATCGGCATATAAGAGTAGGTCTTCTGCAGCTCTCCATTAGCATTGCGACTTAACGTGGATTGTGGGTGGTGCTACATTGTTGTTCAGAAAATACCAATTGAATCGCACGCAGACATGACGACCGCCGCAGACTTCAAAGCAGAAATTTGATCTCACGCATCTCATATCTACGTGTTACGTTTGACTACGAGTTGTAGGGTGCTATTGCAACCGACTTGGTACAGTAATTAAAAACCGGATACGTTTACCGCTGTTGCATTTAACATCCCCTTGTATTGTATGTAGCAGCGCAGATAATAGACACACTTATAATACGCACCACTCATCTTCCTAACCGAGCAGAAAAAGTACGCTTATATAACGTTTTCTACTTTACATTGAGGCTGCTACATGCGATATACAGTAGTAAAATGGGACCTTACTTCTGGACAACGTCCATTGTCTTCCTGGGACGGGCCATCGCACATACAATAAAAATGCACACCACAACACCCTCACTATACAATCCCTCCGGTCCGTCTGATGAAACCAGTCACACACCTCAAATGTGAGGAAGACGCGTCGCCCGGGTTTGCTGACTATGTATATGTCATTGACAACGGGTTTGCTATCGCGGTACTTCAATTTGACCTCAATCTCACGCAGGTGCTCCGGTGCCCTTTTCTCGATCCAGGACATCTTGTTGACCTCCTCGGGTGCTAGAGTGTGGGTATAGTTGGTAATGAATGGTGCATCTCTGGGCGATACAGAGCGGAGATTGCTCGTGTCTTGGCAGACGATTTGTCTCGCACAACAGTACGTTCGTGCACACTACTACGCCAGCATATTCTGATAGATCATTGCAATAACACGTGGGTCTAAATGTGCCGACAACATGGGCCTACGCCTGCGAACGCTTATACAACTTGATTGAAGGAATTTTCTAGTGCTTTTCTACCGAGATAGTGTCTGCGTGTTGGTGTTTCTCGACGATTATTGTATTTTCCTTTATGCTTAAAGATGTGTGTATGTACACAAGTACTTCATTTTGTGGATATAGATACATGTGCTTCCGCTCAATTTCTGAAGACATGATTTAGCATATATATATATTTATGACGAAACATCAAGAGAGGGCTTAAAAAATAAAACAAATTTGAACCAATCTGTACATAAATTTTTATATGTGATCCGTAATGAAATATACATACCATAAAATAAATATTCACTAAGACCATATATATATACATACATACATACATACATATATATATATATATATATATATATGTATAATATATACACACACACACACACACACACACACTATATATATATATATATATATAATATATAATATACTATATATATTATATATATATATA